CCCCCCCCCCCACCCCTCCTGCCTTGAAACTTTTAACTTACCTGCCCACTGTTAGCCAAGTCATCCACGGACAGAGAAGGGTCCAGCCTCAGGGATAACCCAAAGTCACAGAGACAGCAGGTTAAATCATTTTTCACCAGGATGTTGGAACTTTTTAGGTCTCTGTGCACGATAGGTGTTTTGGGGCGACCACAGGGCGTGTGATCACTATGCAGATGGGCAATCCCTCGGGCCAAGGACCCACCCAGTTTCCAGAGATCCTCCCAGCTGATAATGTGCCGTGTGAGATATTCCTGCAAGTTTCCTCTAGCGTGGAAGGCAGTGATCAACCAATACTGTTTACCGAGATCTGTCTTACGCTCCTCTGCTGTCAAGAATTGGAGAATGTTCTCGTGCTTGAGGTTTACATCTGAAAAAATGTCTTTCTCAGTTTTCCAGGAGGCGTATTCTTCATAGGGGAAAATCTTGACTGCCACAGTTTCATACTGCTCCGATGTGTTTTGCTTCAATTTGGCTTTATACACTTCAGCAAACCTTCCTTTGCCAACAACAACGTCCAACTCAATGGGCAGCAATTCTGTGTTGTGGTTGATGTTGTTGGCACAGGTAGAGCTGATGTCTGAGCGGTCATCATCTAACATAATGGCACAAACATCACTGCAGTCCTTATGTTTCCTGGGCTTAACATTCTTCTCCCATGCCTTGTTGAGCTGCCTCTTCTTATGAGTGCGGTAGGCATAAAAGATAACAATCACAGCAACAGAAATCACCAGTAATGGGACGAGACTTATGATGGTGACTTTGGAAATTTCATCTTTCTCCTCTGGCTTATGAGGGTTATCTGTAAAGAACAGAAGGAATGCATACATTAAATGATATCATAGCTTTATGTATACAAGAGGCTGTCAATAATTATATTTTTTATCCAGAACGCTATACATGATGTCTTTCACTAATAGTAAATAATAAAAAATACCATGGCTTTCTTACCTCAAAATGTTGTTTTGTATATAGGACTCCACTTACCAGGACTTTCCTGTCTGCTTATTTTATAAAAAGCCAACACCGAATGAGCAAGAACCTAATATAATTTAATAGTTTTCTTCTTCTCTGAGGCTCTTAATAAATTATGGATGAAACCTTCGTTTTCCTGAATGCAATAGCCAAAGTCTCCTGCATTTACTCTGTCGATGTATTCTTGACAGATCTGCCCCTTTAACCAGTAACTACTATAGCACATTAATTTTTCTAAGAACTGGATTGATAAATAAATAGACAATGCGGCATGTGTACTCCCACCCACCCAGTTATCATTTCAGATCTGGTATATTTCAGTGGGATCCATGTAAAGACATCTTTGGGAAGCCTGTCCACACACAACTGCCCCAAGCTAATGATCAGGCACAATATGCATACCTGCATACACATCTGAAAAACAAACCTAATTCTCATACTTTGATGAATGCGAGAGTGTTGCTAGAACAAATTAAAACACCTGCATATACACAGGTGTTTCCATCCTGCAGGCACAATCAGGCATGTATGACACTTCTGAGAATTGCCACCCCTCATGTACTTTTTCCATGGATTTATGTGACTGAAAACATCCTCTGTGTGTCACTTGCCTTGTAAAGCAGTTGACAGTTCATTCCAAACTGGTGCAGTCCACACACTAACATATTCTTAGATTAAACACATACAGATAGGGAACAGAAAAAAAGTAGAGACATATTCTAGAACTGGGAGACATTCTGGGAATGGTACAAAACATTATTCTAGAGGCGAGAGCTGCCCTGTCACCTTTAGATGTGACCCTTCTAGTTCAGTTTGGGATATTTTTTCGGGAAGGTAAACAGTTTAAAAGAGAACAGTTTTATTCTGAAAACAGATTAAAGAAGGAAGGCCAGAGTTTATCTGAACCTGATTTGATTGGACACATGGGAATGTACTCTCCCAGACCAGTTCTTCCTTTGAGTCAGAGCAAATGTACCATATTATCTTTCCACGAGGGAGGGGACTGATTGAAGAAGCCCTGGGAGTCTAACCCGAATGGACTAAAACAACTGATGCTGCAAACAGAGTTAAGTAAGCGGCTTGTGTTGGCAGCATGATGCTCTGGTGGATGCTCGCAGCAATGTCCCTGACTCAGGTTCTGTGTATCAGGACAAGTAAGTCAGTAAGAAAAAGAAAAGTTTAATAAGCTCTGAAGGGAAGTTGCCACTTACTACCTTAGCCACAAACCTGTTTCCTGTACTCTGTGCCGCTCAAAATGAAGGTTAGCAACGCTGAAAGGGGTGGGGGAAAAGGGTTTACAATTAGAACAATCACTACCTCTGACACTCCAATCTCACATATAATCACATTTCCATTGGAAACACAGCTAGCTGACAGGCAACAGGAACCATCCGCTATTCAAGGCAGGTGACAGGACATCTGAAGTGTATATTTTTCTTTATTTGGAAGAAGGCCTGAATCCTGAACCAGGATGTGCTTCCTCTCTTTGAAAGGTTCATCTACCAGATGTAAAGCAAGTAATTCAATCCTAACCTCTCTCATAGGGTTTCAAGGAAGAGGAAGTGCCTTTCTGGCCCTGACATTCCTGGCTAGCACAGGTCAGTGGCATTCACTAGCAGCACCTACAAAGAATGTATTTCCTTCATTTATGCAAAAGAACCTTTTAAACCAATCCCTTCTTCCACACCTATGCAAATCACAAATCCTTATTTTCACATGATTTCCCTTGGCAACAAAACGTTAGCAAATTTTAAACTTTTAAATTAAAGAAGTAAAAGTCCCTCACAGATTACAGGCACCCCTTCTTTTCAGCATGCTGAAGAGGAAAAAAAAAATCCAGGTTTTTTATGGCCTTTACTGGAGGATTATATTTAGAAAGTCGAATGTCACTGTCAGCAAAAAGATTTGCATTGCTTATTCCCATGTGCATTTTTTGCTCTTAGAAAATCTGCTTTATAAAGAACTTGGGAAACACCCCAGTGGAAGAGAACTGACTACATTGTGGGATGGCTGTTTCAGAGTTTTGGCTACAAGCAGGCCACAACTGCATGAATGCAACTGTGATCTGTAACAATCAGGTAACATAGTTTTGATGAACATTTGGGGTTCTGTTTCGATTGTATTTCTTGACCACAGAGAAGCATGCTTGAAGTTTGGACTCTGCTCTTGGAACTGAGTAATATGTCACCTATATCATATGGTATACTTTTCAATAAGAGGAACATGCCTTTTTAGGGCCCTTTAAGCCCCTTTTCTTTGCTAACAAAGCTGCAATATATAGCCCAAATATTTGAAATACAAATTTCTTTCTAAATGGGGGACAAACCCCCCAAGCTGTATTAGTTCTCTTTCAAATTTCTTCCTATGAGTACAAGCAGCTGGCAGTAGTTGGGTGCATGTTCAGCTCTAACAAAGAAGAAACTCACCCAAAGCCTCCACTCCTTGACTGCTATAGCTCCATATCAGAGGGTCTCCGATCATTCCTATAATGCCCTAGAGCAGGCTCTATTCTTTTAGCCTACAGCTGAGAAGTCTCTGTCAGACTTCATGGCCCCCTTTGGCTCTTCCTCTTTTTGCTCAAGAGAAAGCTCTGCTTGTGGTGCAGGGGGATTTCTGGGTGGAAGGGAGAAACTGTTGATGTTGCAAGTGTCACTTGAAAAAGAATGATTATTTTTTTTTTTTTTAAATCAAAGCAGAAGCTAAGCAGTTTGGCCACTTCCCCTGAGCACTCCATCATCATCCTGCACCCCTGCTGCAAAGTGACACATCCTCTTGGCACTGTCCCTTGGAGGAAGCAGGGAGGCGGGGGTGAAAAGCATACGGTTGCACATCCCCACCTAAAGCAGCAGGGACAAAGGATGTGCTTATTTTGAGTTTTTAAGACACTAGGCTAGTCCCACTCCAGGCTTGGGAAGTGCAAGAATGAGTGCCCAATGGGGAGAACTGAGTGTCAAGATTGAGAAGGCTGAACCCTGAGTTTAGGAGGGGACTGTGCTGCTTGCCATGAGGATTAAAAGGGACAGCAGCTGCAAAGAGCTGATGGCACCGAGGGCTGGTCACAGCAAGGCACTTCTAGACCTGCCTCTGATTTTGACTGCTGATATGAGCAAAACAAAATCGGCCCCTCCAGCACAACCTAAGGTTGGGGTATTTCTCGGTTGAATCTGTGTACAAAGTCAGGGCAGGATCAAAATTCAGAGCATATCTGTATGTTTGCATAATGGCTAGCCAGCATTCTCTGGCTTGACTACAGGAATCTAAGAATAAATATGTTCATTTGCTTATAAATAAATACCTATGACTCAAACCCCAGCATTTCAAAAATGGGAGTGCAGCTTCCTCTTTTTAAACACTGCAATGACCAAAACCTGGCTGCACTGGCAGGCAAGGAAACAGTTAAATAAATCAGCCTTTCAGGTTCTGCAAACATGCTCCTAAATAACTTTCCCCACCCAGAACTATTATTTAGGCAGGATCAGTCCTTTCTTAAGCTTCAAAAGAGCCTATTAATACAGCGTAACAATAGAGAAGTTGAGCTAAAAGTAAGCTTCCTGTATGGAGTTTAAACTAAGCACAAGCCATCTGCACAGCCCTCAGCACTACCTAAGCCTGTAGGGAATAGGGCTCAGGTGCCAAGGAAAATGGAAACACTGTCCAGCCCCTGTTCAGTCAGGAAGCTTCAAAGCACAACAGCGCTTTGCCCACAAATTCTTTAGCTTGGACTGGGTGCCTTTGATTGGACTTCAGTGTCACTGAACTTCGGAAACAAGAAATAAAACAATGGCAATAAAATTAGGACCCGCACTTGAATGCAAAAGGCAGCAGAAATGCACAGCCAGCCCTGAGGGAATAACTTGAGTGCCGTTTGCTGCTCCTGCGAGCTCTAAAGCTGCTGCCTCTTCAACTGCTACTCAAAGCCACACCACAGGGCAAGAACATATTTGATACTGGCAGAACTCAGGTTAAACATATCAACACTGATATATTGCAGGTTTGCCTAGTGCCTTTGAACGCCTTCCCCCCCCCGAAACATAGAGTCACAAAAAATGGGTCCAGAACTGGGACTGTGATCTAGTTATTTTGCAGGCTCCTGAGCCACAAAGCAGCCCTTTGAGCTGACTGGAGGACAACTCCGTTTTGCAGCAATTCTGAGGTTTCAAAGTTTGGTTTCAATTCCACATTGGAATGAAAACTAACACTTTTTGAATGTTTTTGCATAAACAGAATTTTGTTCAAATGTTGCAATTTGGCAAGAGATGTGAGTGCTGAATCCCCACCAGTAAGGGGACTAGTCTGGGGTATGGGAGCTCCAAGTTCAAGTCCTGCTCTTTTCATCTCTCATTTTTCGAAATCAGGCAAAATGTGAGTTTGAACCTTATGTGAGTACTGATTTCTGGGCAAGATATTAGGCAATAAAATACGGAAAAGTCTGCCCATCTCTTTGGTGCTACTTTCTGGATGAAAACTAATTCCATAAAATGCTTCATTTTCAGTGAAATGAAGTTTCACGCCAAGCAGCTGTTTGGGGTATCTTAGTTTATCCCTATCAAAGAACCCTCAAGTGATAATGAAATTCTGTAGTTCAGTGTCTCATGTACCTTCCTGATTTCGGTCTTTTTAGAATTAAAATGGCTCACAAATCTTCAGCACAACATTTTTAGATAGGAAATGTTGATTTTCAAAACAGAAACTCTGTTTCTGACATTCCTGTACTATTCCCTGAAACCTCTATCTTGAGGACAAAAGTGGTCTGAAAGTTGATCCAACTTTTCTGTTTAAAAACTTCTGCTAATTTTCCAGGCATTGCTTTTTTGGCTTTCTGGATGG